CCCTGAATAAGTTTATTAGCAGAACAGACTTAAGTGAAAAGAGATTTGATAAGTGGAAGATAAATCAAAAGGAAATATCTACAGTGAACCCCAGATCAATAACAGTAACAAAACATGGAAGATACCACATAGTGTATAATACACCTACAGCATACACTGAAAATATCAATTTATTCATTATTGGAGTCTTGGAAGAGGAGGAGAGAGAAACAATGTGGGTAGAGGTAATAAATGAAGAAGTTATGATTGAGAATTTAAAAAACAAACAAACAAAACCCCCGAAAGATATCAAGCCACATATGTAAGAAACATCAAAGACCTCAGGTGAGTCAAATATAAGGAAAACCATATCTAAGCACATCGCAGGGTGCCAGAAGAGAAAACAAAATCTTGCAAGCAGTCTGAGGGGAAACTGTAAGAGTAACAGTTGATTTTTCAACAGAACAATGGAAGCCAGGAACAATGGAAAGATAATCTTCAAAAGTCTCAGGTGAAGTGACCAACTGATGGTTGTGGCAGGACTCACTCACATATCCTGAGCTCCTGGGTTGGCTCTGATCTGCCTCTCATCTTCCTCCTAGGTCTAGCAAGCTACCTTGAGCATGTTCTACTCATGGTAGTGGGAGAGATACAAGAGAGCAAGCAGTTATGTGCAAGCACCTTTTGAGCTTCTGCTCATGCCACATCTGTTAAGATCCCATTCACCAAAGCAAGTCACATGACTGAACTTTGAACCAAAGAACAGGAAAGTCTGTCCTGCCACTTGGCAGGAAGGGCTGTGAAGTTCTAAGACAAGCGCATTGTGTAAGACAGGGTGAAGAATCGGAGTCATTGATATAATGCACGCAAGGTAACCAGTGAAAAGGAGCAATTCAAATGAATGTTTGTAGCTTGCTTCTCGGGAAAGAAGCACATCAGGAATGCCTACCTAAGTCATGCTAGCTGTTCTGACTGGAAGAGATTTTGTAAAGGGCATGGAAAGCATTCAAATGCTCTTTCGATTTGTACTTCGGACATGCTTCCTGTCATGGCTGCTTTTACTGAATTCCAAGAGCAACTTCTTCTGCAGAACAGAGGATGAATTAAGTGAAAGGAGAAGAAAACCTGTGTTTACTCTTTAAAACATGGGAGTGATAGTAAATTGAGTTGAAGAAAAATAAATATGGATTTTAATAGCATCTTTGCAATGCAAACCCCCAGAAAGCACTATGTAGAATTAAGTGGGAAGATCTTTTTTTTTTAAGAAAACAAATGAGCAGTTCCTTCCCAGGCTTAATATTTCTAAAAAATTGGCTTTGCCAAGTTGGATCTATAGTCCAAAAAGTACATGGCAAAGGAAGCATAAAAATGACTCGAAGCTGGGCATGGTGGCATGTGCCTCTCATCCCAGCTACCCATTAGGCTAAGGCAAGAATGTCACTTGAGCCTAGGATTTCGAGGCCAGTCTAGGCAATATCTTAAAAAAAGAAAAAGAAAACATCAAAACCCCCCAAACCCCCAAATTAAAACACGTTAAGACATTTAGGCCATTTCTTCTCTCCAAGAAGAAAATAAAATGGATTTCAGTACCTATGGGTTTGAATCATTTGTACTTGTTCATGTAGAAAAAAAATGGTTAGGATAAAAAGAAAATAGTCACAGTGGTCCTGGGGGGGGGCATCCAGGGCATCGGGGGCCACGTGGGGCCAAGTCAGGCTTGGTGCACGGTGCATGCTGGACAGTGGGGTGCAGCAACACCACCTCCAATGGTCTAAGCTCAGACTTCCTATGGGGCTTGTGTTTTCCTCAAAGAGTCCTGCGAGTTTGTTTCCTCCTGCATAATAAATACATGGGTTTTTTTTAAAATAAAAAATATTTTGCCTTACTCACCTTAAGTAATATTCAGGATTCAGGAAGAAGGGCATATATTTATGCTATGGCTTGGATTGTTTCCTGGCACATGATGGTATCTTCCCCTGCTCAGTGGGTCTGTATAAGAACCTGAGGTTGGAGTGCTGGACTGGGAAATCTGGAGGACTGGGTTTTACTCTTGTCTTCGCCACTAGCTTATGTTCATGTTGGAGAAGTTATTTAAACTGCCCAAACCCCGTTTTCTTGCAAATTAGAGGGAGACTGGACTGGACCCTTTCTAAGGTTCCTGCTCCTTCTGAGTCCCCAGGAGTCCCTTCCAGGTTCCTAGCTCTAGGTCCAAACTTGGAATTGGCTTATGAACAGGGCTGTCCTTGAGCTGATCACACAGATGGTAGAAGCAACTTTCTAGTCCCAGGCAATCTCTGATCTAAGACGGTACAGAAGCAGCAAAGGGCGAGATGGGAGAGGAAGGTGCGTACCCTAAACCATCCCACAGGCGCGGAGGTCAGGGGAATGTCTTCATGGAATTAACGCACTTTTCAAGGGGAGGTAGACGATGCCGTTGGTCTGTTAACAGATGCAGGTTTTTTGTTTTGTTCTGTTTTGATTCCATCAGCATTGAAACTGAGAAGGGTAACAAGATCGTCACATTAATAAAACAAGGTGGTATTTGGACACTTAAACTAAACAAAAGAAATTGGACCTGGGAGTGCATTACTTATTTATGGCATCTCCTCTTTGAGCTCTCAGCTCTTTTATGAGGCCTGGGATGCTCTCTTTATTGGTCTTTAAGGCAAGTGGGAAGTACTCTGCGGTGGCTTCTGGTTTAGGTCAATGTGAGTGGGTTGTGCGGGGTCATTTGGTCCAAAGCCTCCACACAGGGAATGTGCTCTCTCTCTCCTTTTCTTGAGGGTGGTTTGAAACCCAGCTAATGGTAAGCAGGAGATATGCTCAGGAATTTCATAAGGCCATTCAGCCGGGAGGCGGTAACCAAATTAAATCAGAGCGAGACAGGGCCAAAGGTCTTCATCAACTCCTAGAAGAAGAAAGTCCCTAGGAACAGGCGGGCTGGCAGCTTGATTTCTTGTGTCTGTTAAAACCAACCTGGGGCAAGTGTAATTGAGCAGAGGGCTTTGGACGGAACTTCTCTGCCAGGGAACTGAAAGTGCTGAGTGACTAAATGGCCTTGTTCATCTCCAGTTTCTACTGTTGTCCCCAAAACAGCCACAGCAGTTGTCAGGTTACCTTGTTCCACGTCATTTAAATACAGATTACCTGGAGTCTGATGTGACCCTGCAGAACAGAAGCATTTCACAATCTCCAGTGAATTCTCAGGAGGTCTCAATGCATGTGCCTAAGCAGGGAGGGACATGAGTCTTGTTGTGCACATACACATCCCCAAGGCGAGTACAAACTCATTGTAGTTGCATATGGCCACGTTCCCTATGGAAAACATCCATTCGGCTCGCACAAAGCTTTTGTCTTGGGATAGAATCAATTCGGCCACAGAGCGTCTTCTCCTTGTCTTTAGCTACGAAGAAAGGGTCCGGTTTTGAGGAGAGATGGAGGAAATCCCAGAGGCAGGGCTAGCTTCGCCAGCAGCACCAGGGTACCACGCAGCCTGCTGCAGAGGTGTGATAGTGACCTTCTTGTGGTTCCAGCAACATTAAGGAGAGAGTGAAGGACTAAAATGAGTCAGAGCCCCCTGGAGATGTGATGGTCCCTCACCAGGCCCCGTAGTCAGAGTGGCTCCTGGATTTTTTTGGTTTTTTTTGGCAAGACCAGGAAGATTTGAACAGACCTGAGATGGAATTCCTCTGTCTACAGCTACCATTTCAAGGCTCTCTCCTCCTTGGAACCTCTCCTTTTCCTGGCCCCTCTGCTCATCCACGTTGACCAGCCCCACTCCCAGCTGGTCAACGCCCTTCCTCACCGCCCAGTTTTCTCTTCCCTCAGCTGACCCAGCCAGTCCCTCGCCCAGGATCTCCACGACCCTTCATTTCCTCCATTCCTGTCCCTGGGCCAAAATATAGATAACCCCAGACAAAAGCAAAACCTAAAACCCCAAACCGCATCAGGACAGGTTCCGTGACCATCCCAGCATTCCCAGCCTCTCCCCTGTTTCCCAAGGCGGCAACCTTAGATCATCCTTTCTTCTATCGAATCCTGAACCTGCCCAGAGCCCGTCTCTCTCGGCAGAAGACGGTCTCCTGTTACACTGAGAAAAAATAAAAACGGCTGCACGGTGGCCACGAAGCCCTTCCCTCTCTCCCTGCAGCCACCTTTCCTGTCTCCTTCAGAGAGTGGCTTCTCTGCCCACCCCGGGGTGCACTCTCCGTTCTAAACCAGGCCTCTTTCTCGGTACTTTTTATCCCAGTCGCTTTTTCTCATCTGTATTTTCGGTATCTTTTAACTCAATTCTTCCTTCATTGATCAATATGCTCAAATCTCTCCCATGTATTTTTATTTTTTGGTACTGGGGACTGAACCCAGGGCCACTTGACCACTGGGCGACATCCCAGCCCTTTGGATTTATTTTTATTTTGAGGCAGGGTCTTGCTAAAGTATGATCCTCCTGCCTCAGACGCCTGAGTTGCTGGGATTTCAGGTGTGCACTCCCTGCCTTAAGAAAAATAAAATAAAAGCATCTCTGTGTCAGGTTTCCTTGGTTTCCTCTACCCGTTTTCTCCTTCTCTTCTCCACCTCACTTAGCAGAGTATTCGTGTTCCGCATTTGCTTCCTCTCCTCTCTGACACAGCATCGAGGCCGCTGTGATAATGGAGAGGCACTGTCATCCTCGTGTCTGAATTGATCACCCCACTCTCCCTCCTCCAGGTGGAAGGGGAGCATGGCACCCTTGCTGGTGGGTCATCGTGGTCACTGTTGTTAACACCTAAATGTCCCCAGGACCTAGGCTCTTCTCCCTGGCTGTGTGACTGACCGCTGCCTGCACAGCACTCAACCTGAGTTCCTCCCCAGTCATTGCTCTTGGCAGGGGGGAGCCATGTCACCAAGGTTATTCTCTGCCTGCGTCCGTGATGTGTCTATCTGGAGAAGGTACAAGGCTTGCTTCTTGCCTCAGCGTAGGACATCTTTGAAGCAAGCTTCGAATCTTCCCTTGAGATCGACAATTACAACTTCAAGACAAGTTCCGTTTCTTTTTTCTGCCAAGTCTTCCCTTCCCCATTGGGAGTTGTTTCTGAGAGTCCTTTCCTGCAGACCTGGGACTATCTCAGGGTCTGCTTCCTGGGGAACAGATGAAGCCAAGTATTTTCCCAGAAAAAAAATCATTCAGGCTGACCTCCCCTCACCCGAAGATCCCAAATCCAGAATGTTTCAAAATCTGAAACTTTTTGAGAGCCAACCTGATGCCCCAAGTCTGATGCTCAAAGCACATAGACTCAGTTTCATACACAGAATTATTAAAAGCAGGTTATGTGTATAGAAGGCACGTCGAGGGGGAAAAGTTTACTCTGGCTCACGGTGTCTGACGCAGGTTCCGTTCATGGTGGATTGACTACATTGCACTGGGCCGAAGGTGAGGCAGAACATCCATGGTGCAAGGGTGTGGTAGAGGACCCCTGTCCCACTCATGGTGGCCAGAAAGGAGAGAGGGGGGTTAGGGGAAGGGCCTGAAGGGAAGATGCACCCTTCTAGGACACACCCCCTGTGACCCACCTCCTCCAGCCACCACCCAATCTGCCTACAGTCATCACTTGGTCCATTCAAACTAGGATGAACTGATTAGGTGACAGCTCTCACAACACAATCATTTCGCCTGTGAATATCCCTGTATTAACCATAGATTTGGGAGCCGCCTCGTATGCAAACCGTAACAAGTGTGTACATGCGAATTTTCTAAAATCTGAAATCCAATCACTTCTGGTCCCAAGCATTCAGGTAAGGGATATTCAGGCTGTAGCAGAGCTAGGAATTCCTTACTCTAACTTTCACTTTTACCCTTTACTCTCCTTTGTGGGCACATAATGATCCCAGAAGATTTGATCAGATTGAAGCCATAAATATGATTTTTCCCAGGCTTTCAGAGCAGTGAACAAAGTTGAGCCCAATTTGTAAGCCTTTTGTTTAATTTCTTCATTTTTGTGAATAACGTTTACTTAGAACAGTATTAGATCAAAACCTTTTCATTGGATCCAACGTCAAATTTCTATGAATTAAAAATGTTAATCATTCTATCTCAATAATTTTCTCTTTAGGAGAAGCTGTACCCTGTACCCTTCTCTCTCTCTCTCTCTCTCTCTCTCTCTCTTTCTTTCCTTCTTCTCTTCCTTCCTTCTCTTCCTTCCTTCTCTTCCTCCACCTCAGCTTCCTCCTCCTCCTACTTCTTTTTCCTTCTACCCTCTTAAGTCCTTAAAGATTGATTACATAATGAAAGTTTAGCTTGCTCTCCACATTCCCACTCTGTGAGTATCACAGAATTAAATGGTGCTATGCTCAAGACCTCTAGAACTAATAGGTACAACTGACCGAAATGTGCTAATATATGCTGTTTTGCTAGATCAAATCATTTTGACACATCCAATGATACATCTTAAGGAAGGATAGCTGTTCTAATAGTTCAGCTGCTCTGTCTTCTCTCATTCCAAAATATATTCTAGATCTAAACTTGTCTCATAACTTTTAATATAATTTGTAGGAGTTATTTAATACTGAATAAGAAGCACTCTAAAAAATCTAAACAACCAGTTATTTTACACACACACACACACACACACACACACACAAACACACATTTTTTTTCACAAGTCCTTGTTTGTCTGGACATGTCTGCTGATCTGGATTAGGCTTGGTCCCAAGCATGGGACGAACTTTGGGTGTGCTTGGAAAGTTGGATAGAGGCTGGCTGATCTAGGATGACCTCGGCTGAGATAATTCGGCTTTGCTCCACGTGATCTCTCCTCCTCCGTCAAGCAGCTAGCTTGGACCTGTTCTTATGGTGTAGCAGGGCTCCAAGAGCAAGCAAGACTAACTCTATGACAGAGCAAACCCCAGGACACAGGTCCCATTGTGTTTTCTGCTTATATTCTTGACTCCTGTATCCTATTCTCCACCTAATGGCTAAAATTGTCTTTTCAAAAATCTCTATCAGACCATGTCAATCTCCTGCTTAGAATCCTCCAGGGGTTTCCCACTACTCTGAGACAAATTCAAATTCCTTACCATGGCTAACAGGCAACAGCCTCTGCTGATCTCTGTGCCCGGTCCCCTAACTCACCCCTCGGGCAGCGTGCCCACTCTACTCAGCCACTCTGTTTTTCTCTCTGTCCTTCCAGCCTCAGGAATCTCATCTTTGGTGCATGCTTTTCCCCAGGTGTTCAGATAGTTGACGACTTCTTATCTTTCAGCTCATACACCATATTCATAGAGACTTTTCCTGGCTAACAGAGGTAAAATAGCTGGGCCCCTTCTTCCCATACCACAACCTTTATCTTCTTACTCTTTTTATAGCAAGTTGGTGTCTGAAATGATTATGCTTTCTAACTTTTCCCCCTGCTTCTGGCTAGAATGTGGACTCTGTGGCCCTACAGCCTGGTATGTTAGCCACCTTTCTGTCACTGTAACAAAATACCTGAGAGAATCAACTTGCAAAAAATAAAAGATTTATTTTGGATCCCAGTTTTGGAGGTTCCAGTCCATGATCAATTAGCCCAATTGCTTGGGGCCTTTGGTGAGTCAGCACATCATGGTGGGAATATATGGTGGAGTCAAACCCCTCACCTCACAGCCAGGTAACAAAAGAGAAAGTGACGAGGATCTGAGATCCCACTATCCCCTTCAAGGGCATGCCCCCAGTGACCTAAAGATCTTCCACTGGGCCCTACTTCCCATAGGTATACCATAGGGTATAGGTTCTACCACCTCCTAATGGTGCCATCTTGGCCACTAAGACTTCCACTTATGGACCTTTTAGGGGGACTCTTGTGATCTAATGTATATCACATTTTCTGTCTTGAACATTGCTTTCTCTCTTACCCAAAAGAGTGCATATAGACACTCACCCAGAACACTCAGTCAATAGTTATTTACTGAATAGGTAAGTAAGCAATTAAATCCAAATCTCTTGGACCAACTTATAAACACTTATATTCTATTTCACTGACTTAGGGTGCACCTATGGCCGTATCTCTTTCAGTGTTCTGCACCAATGCGGCCCTCGCTTTCTCATCCCAAGGCCTTTCAGCCAGATTTAGTCTCTGTTTAAAAACCCTCAAGAGAAAATGCCATGGTCTATTAGACAAGTTGGGGGCATTCAATGACATTTGGGAGGTTACAGAGAGTGAGGGATGGACCGGCCGTAGGAGCAAGATTTCTCTCTGTCTTTTATCATTGTCATCTTGACTTCTGATGACAAGTCAAGATGTCGACTTTAAATTCCACTGGAGTCAGTTTTCTGAGAGGACTGCTAGCCACAATTTCCCCCCTATATTCTTCTAAGTTTGAGGCCTCAAAGATTGCTCTCCAGTGGCATAGTGTAAAGACATTTATACTGAGGGTCTGCCTTTTAGATTCACAGCCTGCCCAAGGCAGCATATTCTCAGAAGACAGAACTCGCCGACTAGTCTTATTATCTAGGCTCCTTTTGCCATATGATGCTCTGCCTTTTTGTTTGCTGGCAGGGCTGGGATCAGACCCAGTGTCTTGTGCAAGTGCTCCACCACCGAGCCACACCCCAGCCTGAGTTCTGCCTCTTGATGAGATCTATGCTTTTCTGGGGGCTTTTGCAGAGACCCAAGGCTCAGTAGGCATTCATTCAGGCTCACATTCTAAAATGCTTCCATTTTCTCTCTCTCTTCCAGAATTCTTCACTCTTACTCTTTCTCCACCTTCCCCCGGAGGTGCTCCAGAGCTGAATCTCATCAAGCCCCACTGACTAGGGCTTTGCTCAGAGCTGATTGTCTGTCCAGGGGACCCATCAGTCTTCTATTCTTCTTCAGAGCTCTTGCTTCTGTTCTTTCTCACATGTGGACTAATGTTCCTTTGCCCCAAAGCAGAAAGGACTGAAATCATTTCCATGAAGAAATTGAATTTGAATCCCCTCTTCTGTATTCATTCTTTCCAGGATCCTGGGCTGGGCCGTAGCAATGTATTTGTTGCCAAATAAGCAAAAACAAGATATTCTCAGGATAACAGAGAACATAATTCTCTTTCTCCTAGTGTTAGGTGGCCACGGGAATTGAACTTCCCCAATTTAGGATGAGTTAAGCAGGGAAAGCATTGAGTTCAGAGACAGTGGACCCTGTCCATGTCCTCCAGTCACGTCCAGAGACTGCAGGCCATTCTGATGCATGACTTTTAAGAATTCCGCTGCCAGCTCTCCTGGCTCCCTGGGCAGGGCCTGGGGCCAATAATGTATACACATCTCCCCTTGGGAAACCGAAATACAGGGATGGTGGAAGAGAAGCAAGGTTTGACATGCACTAGAGCTAGAAGGGCAAGTATTTGATTCTCATAGAGGCTTAGTCAAAACAGAGGTTTTCTCTGGAATATAGTCTGTGAGGCAGTGTATAAAATTATACATGCGCTCTGTTTTTTTCCCCTATTTTATTGCAACCACATGAAATAGAATTAATCAGAATTTCTGTATTTGTAAGTGATAAGCTTGTAGCAGTACTCTAAATAGAAAGTGTACTCTATATGAAGTCTCAGGGCTTATACATCCCAACATCAATAATAAGAAGCAAAATTCAACAGCCCTGTTAGAACACTGAATGATGTTTCCATTTTCTCTATACACAATGCTACAAAAAAAACAAAAAAAACAATGTCATACCAAGAGGCAAAGCGTATACAGTCAGGATGTGTAGGAAGAAATATTAGAAAGAAGTATGATGCAATTACACTCTAAAATAATGCTATATTTTTAGATTCTGTCAGCTTCTTAAGTTTTGAATTTGTAGTGTTTCTTTATACCTGATTTTATATTCATAAAATTTTTATTATATTTTTAAAATAGAGCCAAAAATTGTATAAGCTTCAATCCCTCATAAAACCCAGGACATTTTCCTGGCAAAAACAAGACGTAATTTATTATCTCAAGAAACTCTTCCAACACACAGATAACAACTCTCATTAACTGAGTGCTTGCTCTGGGTCTGTCTATTCCAGGCACTTTATGTAATTCTCTTATTTGTTAAAACAACTTGATAAGCAATAGTCCTCATTTTAATGAATTTCAAAGAAAGAAAGAAAGAAAGAAAGAAAGAAAGAAAGAAAGAAAGAAAGAAAGGAAGGAAGGAGGGGAGGAAGGAAGGAAGGAAATGAAAAGGAAATGATTTACTCAGGGCCACGCTGGGCAAACCCCCTGATTCCTGTCTGTGCTCCTCCCAGCATGCTTTGCTTCTATTATGCGTTACAGTTTGGTGCTTTACAGTTTTTCTTGTGTAGCTTGCCTGCTGCTTTACGTCTGAGCTCCTGGGTCCCAGCTATAATGCAGGTTCCTTGAAGATAAAGAATAGAACCCAGATTTCTTCCATATCAGCCTCAACACATGGCAGAGAGCTCAACTTGTGGTGGAATCACTTTAATTCTTGACAATCAAAATTGATTAGAAGTCATGTCTGTCTGCAAAAAATGTCCCCGAGAGAAGCAAAGGAATCACTACAGGAATAAATGAAAACAAAATTTACTTATTTTTCCTGCCTTGGGTACAATGCTATCTCCTGGCCCTGGTGGGGGAATATAACTGATCTTCAGCTCAAAATGCACAAGGAATAAATGTGCAGTCGGAAGCGACAGGTAGCTTTGGTTTCTGTTGTGAGCCATCCCTGTTGGCGGATACATGTGTGAAACGCTAGTTACCATAGCGACCAGCACAGCAAGATTTTTTTTCCCCCTCTTTGGTTTATGAATTCAAATCAATAAATGTTTATAAATAACTCTCCAATTGGCCCAAAGAAGTAAAAGCATAAGCCAGAACAATCCTTCTGTCCTGTGAATGTGAGTCAGAGAGACGTTGGCCATATTCTCGGGACAGAAAAAGGCTATCCATGGAATAAACAATTGGCCACATCATTTCCTTTGCAAGAGCACTTAGGGAAAACCTGCTGAGTGAAGATCTATCTCACAAGCTGACTGACAACACACAAAATGTGCACAGACAACGAGCGTAGAGACCGAGGTGCAGAAATCGCACTGTTGGGTGGTACAGATGCTGGAATTGGAAGGCAAAATGGGGGTCATCAGACCTAAGTGATTCTACTGAAGTCCAAGGGCATATTTGGAGGCTTTACCATGCATTTGTGGGTTGATTATGTGTTCTGTATGATATGCAATGGGAATTCATATAAATGTGGAATTTAGTCTCAAGAGTCCCAACAAAAATCAAATCAGGCCGTCACCAGCCAGGGTAAGGATTCTTTCTATAGCATTGCAAACAGATGGCCAAACAGCCTCTCTCGGGGTATTTTTAGTAAAAGGGAAAGTCATTTCCCTCCACTCTCTATCTAGTAGCTGCTAAATTTATATCCTGAGCCAAGATCTCCTCCTACTCCCATCCCGTAACTTCCATCCATTGGTCTTCGTTTGTTCTTCGGCACCACAAATCCCTAATCCCTGAGGTTCCTCTTTTTGGTGACAGCCTTTCAACTCTCGGAAGGCAGCCCAGAATTCTTCCGTAGTCTTCTCTTATTGTAGGTGTGGGTCCAACCTCTCCTTCTCTTGGTTTCTTTTCTCAAAATGCTTTTTTTTTTTTTTTGATTTGTCATCCTTCTTCTCAAACTGGGCTTCCAGAACAATCTGTACAAATGGCCACATGTGGGTTAAGATTTCAGAGCACGGTGAAAAAACTTCCTTACTGACAACACACAAAATGACTTTCTCCGTCTGTGGATGTGGCTAAGTTGATGTTCAAGTTTTTAATCTTTCTTCCTCCCTCCCTCTGCCCACCCCTCCCTCCTCCCTGCTTCCTCCCCGTCCCCGTCCATGTTCCCACAATGCGCTGATGGCGCCCATTAGGCTTCTGCTAGGTTAAAACACACAGGGCATCCCATCCCTTCCCAGAATAGGGATGAATTATATAAATATTTTTACCAGGAAGAATCAACCAGGGCAGGGATTCCCTGGCAAGCCACTAGCCTGAATAGCACAAAGGAACAGCTGTTCTGATGGTTTTGGCCACGATTCTAGCTGGCTGACATGGAGTAGAAAAGGAATAATTGTCCACCAGATGTGCTCTCAAGGGCCTTAGGGGACCCTCTCTTGCTCCAAAATGTCTCATTCATACAAATGCTGGAATGGCTGGAATTTTACCATTTGGGAAAGCTAGTCTACTCCTGACCATTTCCCCGCCCCCCCCCCCAAAGGTCATATTAAATCACTAACAGTTTGGTCTGAATGAGATCCCATTTTCCTTTGGGAAAGAGTACAACTTGGGGCAGTTAGAAATCCCTCCTGGATTTGGAGGGAAGGAAGGGCGGGAAAACCAGGGGCAAAGGTTTGAAGAAGTCGTGGAACACTTTGAAGGGTTCACCATTTTACCCAAGTCCGTCGTTGACACGCTCAGTCGCCAGGGAAAGGGTCACAACTCAAAGGCTGCAGTGCTAGTGACAGTAAGTGGAGACAACAGAGAGTGGCAGGGACCTTGGGACCTGAGGGTCCTAGGACAGGGGCAGCCTTTGCTCAGCTTCAGCCCAGTGTTCCCCAGGCAGACACAGCCGTGCTGTCATGAATTTCAGATTGTCAGAAATCGGAGGTTTAGGGCTGGGGTTGTGGCTCAAGAGGTAGCGCGCTCGCCTGGCATGCGTGCAGCCTGGGTTCGATCCTCAGCACCACGTACCAACAAAGATGTTGTGTCTGCCAAAAACTAAAAAATAAATATTAAAAAATTCTCTCTCTCTCTCTCTCTCTCTCTCTCTCTCTCTCTCTTAAAAAAAAAAGAAATCGGAGGTTTACATAAAATCTTAACTTCATGTTGACCAATGCAAAAAAAAACTCTCTCTATCCATAAAATCTATACTTGCAACTGTTCCAATTGAGGCAAAGAGGGTGACTCCAGAAATAGTAACTCAAACAAGATAGAAGTTTCTGCCTTACTGCTCCTCAAACCAGAGAGGGGTGTCCAAGGCATCCTTGGTTAGCCCAATGCAGGTCTCGATACCCAATGCATGAGGCCTGATGACTGGGATATGGGCAGTCCCAGGACAGGAAGCTGTGGCCATCTGCCTGCAGTGGCGGAAGACACAGGAAAGAAAACTCCATTGGTAATAAACAGCACTGGGCTGTTTGTGTGTGCGCATGCGGATGTTATCCAAGTGTATCTGAAAAAGCCTTGGAATCTATTTCTTCTTGGGGCTGGAAAAGGCTTAGATCCTAGTGCAGGTTTGAACAGGCATGGGGAGGGAAAATATCAGTCTTTAGCTCATTCAGTAAAACAATCACACACACAGACAGAGGCACAAATGCATATAGGTTTTCTTTACCCACTAATATAAACCATCTTTATACAATGAAAATATCTGATACTGAGGGAGGAGGTAGGGGCAAAAGGACAGTCAGTGTAGGCAATGAATAACTGGAGGATGGGGGCTGACTCCAGAGGAAACAAAATGCTAATACCTCCAGAGCACTTCCCCCTCCTCCACCTGTTGCCAAGGTTACCTGCCTCCAGGGAATTGTTCCTCCTTGGCAAGTCCCTGGGTGTCTCCCTTCCTGCCTGGACGCCTGGGCAGGGGAAAGGACTCAACCTGATTCTCAACACTGGTATCAATATTGAGATTTTCTCATATCAGTATCAGTATTACTTCTCCCATCTGCGTATTAGATTATATGGATAGTGTATTTTTTCAACACAATACCTTTATTTTATTTGTTTATTTTTTATGTGGGGCTGAGGATTGAACCCAGTGCTTCACAAGTGCTAGGCAAACGCTCTACCCCTGAGCCACAACTCCAGCCCCTGGATAGTGCATTTAAACAGTTTAAGATATCCCTTCCAAGTTTTTGCTATTGTTAATAATGCTGCAATAAATTTCCTCATTCATATGTAATTTTACACCTATGTGAAAATACCATAGAATAATTACTAATTATCCCATGTATAAAGTGAAGTTGGGACAAAGATGTGTGCTTTTTAATTTAAAAGGTGTTGCCAAATTGCCCTCTAGACAGACAATATAAATTTAATGCCCACCAGCAACACATGCTACATAAGGTGTGGGTGGGCCAGCAGAAGAAGAATCTCCAAAGAGCTTATGAGAAATATAAATTCTTTTTTTATTTGTCCTAATTAGTTATACATGACAGCAGAATGTATTTTGTTTCATTGTACACAGATGGAGCACAACTTTTCATTTCTCTGGTTGTACATGATGTAGAGTCACACCATATGTGCAGTCATACATGTACTTAGGGTAACGATGTCCATCTCATTCCACAATCTTTCCTGCCCCATGCCCTCTCCCCTCCCCTCCCTCCCTTTTGCCCAATCAAATTTCCTCCATACTTCCCACGCTCCCTCCTCCATTATGGACCAGCATCCACTTATAAGAGAGAAAGAACATTCGGCCTTTGGATTTGGGGGATTGGCTTACTCTGCTTAGCATGATAATCTCCAGTTCCATCCATTTACCTGCAAATGCCATGATTTTTATTCTCTTTTAATGCTGAGTAATATTCCACTATGTATATACATCACAGCTTCTTTATCCATTCATCTACTGAAGGGCATCTAGGTTGGTTCCACAGTTTAGGTATTGTGAATTGAGCTGCTATGAACATTGATGTGGCTGTGTCACTATGCAGATTTTAAGACCTTGGGGTATAGACCAAGGAGTGGAATAGCTGGGTCAAATGGTGGTTCCATTCCCAGTTTTCTAAGGAATCTCCATACTGCTTTCCAGAGTGGTTGTACCAATTTGCAGTCCCACCAGCAGTGAATAAGTATGCCTTTCCCCCACATCCTCACCTAGAAATGCAAATTTTTGGGCCCCATCCCTGGACCTTCTCAATCAGTATATCTGCATGCTGGTAAAATCTCCAGGGAGTTTTTGTGCATCTAAATTTCGAGAATTCGTGCAACCTGTTCATGGGTAGCTATGAAACTCCATCACTTATGGTTTTAGTTTGTCTTCCCTTTTGGTTGAGTGAGGTTGAACATCATTTTATATGTCTAAGAAGTATTTGTAGGTTTTTATGAATCTTCATGTCCCCTTATCCAGGGTTTTACTAACTTCAGTTTTCATTACCCGTAGTTAATGCAGTTAATTGTGGCCTGGAAATATTATTCCTCTTGATTCCTTCAAGAGAGACTACATTTATGTCACTGTTATTGCAGTATATAGTTATATTTGTTTCATTTTTATTGTTGTTGCTAACCTCTAACTAGACCTGATTTATAAATTAAACTGAATCATAGGAATGTACACATAGGAAAAAGCAGGGTGTGTATGGGGTTGGGTTGGGCACAATCACAGGCCTCCACTGGGGGTCTTAGAATGTATTCCTGGTGGATCCCTGTTTCGGGCAGATGATCTCAATGTCTGTGATCTGAGTAGCAAATACTTTTCTGCTTGTCATTGCCTTGAGTGGTTAATGTTTTTTCTTTGCAGAATGTTTAAATTTTTATATAGTTAAATTTATCTTTTTATAACTTTTGTTGAGTCATAGAAAGGTCTTTGCTCACTTCGTAATTAAAAACTTTGTTTCCTTTTAATACTGTCTGATCTGGTGATTTACATTGCAATATGCTTTCTGTCTGAAACTTATTTTGGTTCAAGGAAAATGATGTGGATGTAATGTTTTCCAAGTGGCTACCTCCTTGTCCCAATACCATTTATTGAAAATGTGTCTTTTGCCCCATTTATTTCAAATAAAGTCACTTGAATATACTAAACATGAGCTCCATGTGAGCTCCCTGTCAATTGCATCCTGGATCGTGTCACCTCAACGGAAACCAAGACTCTCTCCTAAACCTTGATGTGTTTCCCCAGTTCTGTGTCCTGCCTCCTGTAGGATGATTGAAATGACTGGAACTCTCTTGTCTTGTGTCCTGCTTCCTCCAAGTTCCCACAAGTGACAACTAAATTAAAAAGAAACATGAAATAAAGGCTATTTGGGTCTGGAGTTTAAATAATAATAATAATGATAATAATAATAATAATAATAATAATAATAATAATAATAATAATACCTTAAATCAAACAAGTAACTGGGAGGGATAAGGAATTCTAGAATATATGGGGTTTCTAGAATTTATTATTTTATGCCACAGAAATGGCACCTTATTGGCCTTCCCAGTCCTAGGTTTAAATTAGAAAAATAGACTGAATATAAATTCCACCCCTGTCCTTTCTCTTCTTCTCCCCTTCCCCTTCTCTTTTTCTTTCTTCTTTTTCTTCTTCTTTTTGTCTTGAGTGTTCAGAGCTAATCATTGTTTCTCCAGGCTTTTTTTTTTTTTTTTAAACATACTTTATTTCACCAAATCACGGCAACCAGCTGAGTTCAGAATTTGGAAATCACTGTCTCATCTTTATTTCTCTAGCCTGTCTGGTTCATTCACTTCTTTTTTCTCCTATCAAAACTCAAAAGTAGTTAAGACAGGTTTCCTGAAGTCGTCCCTTTTATTTGAAATAAATTTGTGAAGGGAGCCTGATTTAAAAGAATTACAAACTCAACTCGAAAACTCAAACGAAGTCACTTACAGACAAGAGTCTGGGTTCCTGACGGATGTTGCTGCAATGCTCTTTTGATCACGAGTCATTTTCTCTGCTGTTATTAAATGAGGGCATATTACCCGAACAAGGCAGGCTCCTGTGGAGCTCAGGATGCTCCGTGTGACACTCCTGTGAATGTTTGTAGATGCAGGCAGCTTTCCACGGAGGACTGAGATACGAGGAAGAATGCTGAGAGTCAAGGGCACCAAAGCCCGGCAAGGGAGCAAGTCAGTTAAACTCAGTACTAAGAGGGCTCTGCTGACCCTTTTCTTCCCTTGCCATCATCATGTCATCATTTCCTCTTTCCCATTTTGGAGCCATGGTAGAATATATATAGATAGATATATATAGTTGTAAACAGACATAATACCTTACTTTACTTATTTCCATGTGGTGCTGAGGATCGAACCCAGTGCCTCACACATGCGAAGCAAGCTCTCTACCACTGAGCTCCAGCCCCAGCCCTTGGTTGAATGTTTTACGCCTTTAACTTACAGACATTTGGCTGTTACCGATACTGTTAGCATTGAGCACATACTAGTGTAACATACAGAGTGTTGACATCAGTTTCCCTCTTTGGGGACTCTGTGTGTATGTGTGGTCCTAGGCTCAGGGACATGGAAGGCTTAGACCACGTGCTTTCCTGGCCACCCCTGCCATGAGAAAAGCAGCTGAGCACCTTACGCACACAGGGCATGACCCAGGAGCAGGCTTGGGAGAGGCGCTGGGGACAGGGAGACAGAGAAAAAGGGACTCCAACTCAAGAGAGTGTCATTGATCTGCTTATTCCTGTGGTCCAACAGGAGATCTTGCCCACTGCAAGGAACCTTCCAGAGTGCGCTGGAGGAGTGACCACAACAGAAGGAATATGTGCTCGCTGGCTCCACTTCCCTTGTTGTCCCCCTCTAGTTCCAATGTGGCAGGGGGGCTGGGAGTTCTCTGCAGGCATCCCAGCAAGCAGGGCCTGAGAAAGAACACCAGGCGGAGTCCAGCGGGCCACGGACCCTGAGAACACTGGCTGTGGCTGTGGCCGCAGTGGCAATGCGGAGGAGGTGCTGGGTGGGTGGCTCCCTGTGCATCTGGAAACTCACTCCAGAAGGTACCTGGCCACTGACTGCACTTTACCACTGCTCTTGGCATGAATTTAGGGATGTGTGTGGATGTGACATTTTAAGGTGCCCACAACAAAACAGCAAGTGGACAGTCCATACCTTCTCCTTGGTCTACACCGCTCTATAGACCTTTGCAGGTGGATACTATGGGCAAACCACCAAACCCAGTTCTAAAACCTAAGGATACTTGCTAAGTGGACAACCAGGTCACTTACTTTGTCCACTCAGAAAGTGTCCTTGGGCTTCTGGAATGCTGCCAACCATTTTTACTTACCCTGGTAATGAAGGAAACATCAGAGGGCAGAGAAACAAGTCCTGGGTGCTATGGTTTCCTGTTCTTGCCAGAAACATGGCAAACATTACAGTGGACACCTGCGAACTCATCCAAGGCCATGCACTGGTGCTGGAGAGACATGTGGGTCACAGAGATGGTTTTCGGTGTGAGGAGCTCATCTACCTTGGGCAGAGGGTCAGCCCCATTCCGCATCCACCTAGTGGCCTTCATGCTTATATTTGCAGGCACAGACATGTTCAGACGTGCAGGATGGCGAGAACCATCACGGGGCACTCAAGGACAGCGACAGATGTCTGTGAAAATCCTCTTGGGTTCACTCCAAGACGCAAGTAAAAGGAACATCTAAAGAGGGAATGTGAGGCTCTGCCGCCTTTCAGGGAGGGTTCTGTTTCCACTTCTCAGGGTAGACTGGGAGGAGGACCCGGCCTGTTCCTGAGAGTTTTGGAACCGGCATCGAGTCCCTTGCCATTGGGTATGGGAGGGCACAGGGCTGGCAGGAAGGGACGCGGGATGGGGGCTCACCTCTCACCCGGGCTCCCTCGCCCTCCCTCGCCCTCCTGGTGCTGTGTTAGCTGAGCCCCCGGAGTCCCCGGGTCTTCCCCAGTTGTGTGACAAACACGTGGTCAGGCCTGGCTCTCAGCTAGGAAGTTGGCCCATGCGCTCTGGTTCAACTCCCATGGAAGTGGCGGGAAACACTGCCTTCCTCAAGGTCATGTGACCAGTGGCTGGGAGAGAGCTTCTAACCCGTGTCTGCCATCGAAAA